ATCCCCCGTCCTCTTGTCCCTCTCGCTCTGTCCCCCGTCCTCTTGTCCCTCTCGCTCTGTCCCCCGTCCTCTTGTCCCTCTCGCTCTGTCCCCCGTCCTCTTGTCCCTTTCGCTCTGTCCCCCGTCCTCTTGTCCCTTTCGCTCTGTCCCCCGTCCTCTTGTCCCTCTCGCTCTGTGTCCACTATGTGTCTGTGCATGTGACTTTGTCTCTGTGTGGCACTCTGACTGTTCCTCCTCTGAAGCAGATTTTAATGGTTTAACGCAGCTTCATTAAACAGGCCCCCACCATCTCGGCCGCAGTCGCCGGAGTCGCTTCTCGAAAGCATGTCTAACGCCGCGCTCCGTTCCACGCAGGGCACGGTGGCCAGCAGCGCCTCCTGCCTGCAGCTCCACAAGCGTGCCGAGCGGGTGGCCGTGGCCCTCATGGAGAAGGGCCGGCTCAACACCGGGGACCACGTGGCCCTTGTCTATCCCCCCGGTGGGTCCCCCGCTCCCCTCCCTCCTCTATCCCCCACAGGCTGACACTGCTCCACTAACGTCCAATTATCTTATGCGACATTTTGTTGTGTCAGACAAAAATTGATGGAAAACAACCCCGTGGCAACCGTGCACCTCGATCAAAGTTATTTAATAACTGTGGACGCATTTGGACGAATGCGTCAGTCAAGCAGGGTGTAGCATCGACTGTTTTTGCATGACTGTATGCTGTCCCTCTCACACCTCTGCCCCCCACCGCAGGAATCGACCTCATCGCCACCTTCTACGGGTGCCTGTACGCTGGCTGTGTGCCCGTGACCGTCAGGCCCCCCCACCCGCAGAACCTGGCCACCACCCTGCCCACCGTCAAGATGATCGTTGAGGTACTACCCCACCCACTTGCCATTCCTGCAAACACGCACACGGAGTCGCGCAGGCCCTGCGGAAATGCGGCCGTTTGAGGGCAGGCTGACCCACAGCATAGCTTTTAGATCGGCCTGCTTTCTTTCTATTTGACCTTGGGGGTTATGGGGGGGGTTGGGTGTAGAATAATGTTTAAAAAGAGGACGGGAAAATCAGCGCCGGCCGCTCTGTGCACCGACAGGTCAGCAAGTCTGTCTGCATCCTCACCACGCAAGCAATAATGAAACTGCTGAAATCCAAAGAGGCTGCGGCCGCTGTAGACGTGAAAACGTGGCCTACAGTGCTGGACACAGGTACCACCGTCGCCTCACCGCACTGCACTGCACTGGAAGAACAGAGCTCCGTCACTCATGACCTCCCTGCCTGTCCCAGACGACCTCCCGAGGAAGAGGCCCCCCCACATCTACAAGCCCCCCACGCCAGAGATGCTGGCCTACCTGGACTTCAGCGTGTCCACCACTGGCATCCTGGCCGGAGTGAAGGTTGGTGTGGCTTTACCTGCCTGCTCTGCTCTCTCGCCAGTGCGTTTAAGGAAAGCGTGTCTTCAGTCTGGTTACAACAGACACCTAGAAGCTCCAAATACTGTATGTCATGGAAAAATCCCGGTTGATGAAACCATTTTAGTCAATAAACTGTTTATTTTTCCATTTGAATATATTTATTGTTCATATGCTCTAGCCAGCTCCTGAGACTCTGACTTTGTCCGGATCTGACCTTGCTCAGTCTCCCTGTCCGAGGGCCCAGCTGCACTGTGGTTCTGATTCTGTCCAAGTGTAGCCTGGCTGTGACTCTGACTCTGTCCGGACGCAGCACAGCTCTGTGACTCACGTTGCCGCTCTTCTGTCCCCAGATGTCCCACTCCGCCACCAGTGCTTTGTGTCGCTCCATTAAGCTGCAGTGTGAGTTGTACCCATCCCGCCAGATCGCCATCTGTCTGGACCCCTACTGCGGGCTGGGCTTCGCTCTCTGGTGCCTCTGCAGGTGAGCCGCCATTCGCTTCCTGTCCCCCGTTGGGCTTTCAGTGATGTCTAGTTGGCACGTGTTAGCCTCTGGGGCCGTATTCAGAGAGCGATATGGACTTCGGGGTTGCAGAACTGAAACCTATTTCTACAGAAAGAGAGACGGGTCACAGCTGTCTAGCACCGTGCCCGTCTGTGTCTGTGTGTGCCCATCTGTGTGCCCATCTCTGTGCTCATCTGTGTCTGTGTGTGCTCAAGGATAGGCTGCCTTGTATGTGCCTGTGTGTGTCGTGTAAGAGGTGTTCCAGACTGTGGTTCTTTAAACCTGAATCTGTACAGTTAAACAGAATGTCTTGTGTTTTGAGTAACAAAGCCCCCTCCCCACCTGTCTGCAGCGTGTACTCGGGACACCAGTCCATCCTGGTGCCGCCCCTGGAGCTGGAGAGCAACGTGTCTCTCTGGCTGGGGGCCGTTAGTCACTACAAGGTGCGAGTGACCTTCTGCTCCTACTCTGTCATGGAGATGTGCACCAAAGGCCTAGGCCTGCAGACCGAGGCCCTCAAGGTCAGTCAGCTGCTGCGTCACCCTCCCTGCCCCCTCCGTCTTCACGCCCTCGGTGTAAACTCCTTACTGGAGGCTGATACTGCTGCTTCCAAGGAGAACGTTAATCCTAGATGATCCCAGGGTGGATTTTCTGCAAAATGGGCACTTTTAATTTGCACCCCCCCTAACTCTGGCTTTCAAATGACCAAGTAGATGGTGGTCTGCTTCCAGGTGGTTTTAATAATGGATGGTGGTCTGCTTCCAGGTGGTTTTTTGAATGACGGATGGGGGTCTGCATCCGGGTGGTTTGTTTGAATGATGGATGGTGGTCTGCTTCCAGGTGGTTTGTTTTAATTGTTTTTTGAATGACGGATGGTGGTCTGCATCCGGGTGGTTTGTTTGAATGACGGATGGCGGTCTGCTTCCAGGTGGTTTTTTGAATGATGGATGGTGGTCTTCCGGGGTTGGTTGATCCCTGTGTTTCTCTCTCTTTCTCAGTTCAAATCCAGGTCAGATTAGTTTCAATTCAGCTCAATGTGGTTCATCTCAGCAAGCTTTGCAGTAGAATTGTCTAAAAGCACCACAGCACTGAATAATGATGATGTTAATGTCAGCTCAGTGTGTGTGTGCTGGCCAGCTCTGTGTTCATCAATGCCACCCCCCTCACATACCTGTGACAGGCAGTCCCATATTGGGGAGTGAGGACACCAGTGTCCCTCCTTGAGAAGGACAGCCAGTTTTCGGTGAATGAAGCGTGAGGGAGAAATGCTTATTTTGTTATTTTTTATAAAAAAAAATAACAAAATACTCCTCAGACTAGGGTAAGTGGATGGATGGATGGATGGATGGATGGATGGATGGATGGATGGATGGATGGATGGATGGATGGATGGATGGATGGATGTATGTGCCTGTCCTCTGAGGTCATGGGGGCTTCATTGTCTCCAGTCTCTGCTTGGTATTTCCGACAAACCTGTCATATTTTTATAGGGTGAGGTGGACCTAATCCATTTTGAGCATTTTTCCTGTTCTGCTCTTCCAAATACAAAATGTAATTTTTTTTTTGAGTTAGGTTAGTAGTTATGTTTAGTAGTTAGTAATGCTGTCTTTAGCGTATAGGGTAACTTGGGTTATTGAGCACTGGCTGAAAGAAGATACTCTTTATGGGGTTACCGAGCTTTTAAAATTAGAACTCATTTAATATGCTACCACATTTTTTGAATTGCAAAAAAACACCCAGAAAATCACCCAGTTTAGCGTGAAAAGCTTATTTTAGCGACCTTCCTTGTTTGTCAGCCACCTGCGCGACCCCCCTTCACACGGCGCTCTGCTGAAGCGTACCGTCAACTTCAGCTCGGTCCGTCTCTATTTTAAGCTTTCCTTTATTGCATATAGTCCTCGTCACATTTTTAATATTTACAGCTGTGTGGAAAGTTCCACACGCCAGACCAAGGAAAGAGCGGTTTTTGGTGGTTTTCAGGGTGGAACTTTCTATATTTAACTTGCATGCATGCTCCTGGTCTCTATGCATGACCTGACGTCTGAGATCTTTAGCAGATGGGGCAGTGTGTAGCTGGGGAGGTCAGGGACCTTGAAAGCTTTTGGGTGCGGTGCTTAACCCCGGCTGCTCCCGCCGGACCTGCTTTCTGAACCCAGGCTTTCATAACTTGTACGTCACCTTTGGACAAAAGCATCTACTACATAAATGAACGTAATGTTAATGTCTGCCCTCTTACCCCGTGCAGATGCGGAACATCAGCCTGGCCTGTGTGCGGACGTGCATGGTGGTTGCAGAGGAGCGGCCCCGCATTTCCCTCACCCAGTCCTTCTCCAAGATCTTCAAGGATCTGGGTCTCTCCCCCCGAGCCGTCAGCACCACCTTCGGCTGCCGGGTGAACATCGCCATCTGCCTGCAGGTGAGCGGAGGATCTTGGAATGGGAGGGGCCAGGGGAGGGGGGGGCGCAGGTTCCAATTTATTGTCGATTGGGTGGAGTTCTGCAGCTTCCTGATGTTGTGGAATTGTGAGAATTGGGGTGATAACGTAGTCCACCAATCAGGATTGAGGTACTTCATGGCTGATATTATTAGTTTTGCCAGATGTGTAATAATTTACTAAAACACTGCACTAAAGTAACTGAGGTGATGTGTGAATGGGCTTATGGGTAATGTCAAATATGTCAGTACTACTTTCCTATAATCCATTTGAAAACAAACACTAAGAAGGATTTGAGACGTGGCTCCAGAATACTACAAGAAAACATTGTTCTGCCATAGAAGAATGGTTGGAAGTCCTGTGATTAATATACTTTACAAAATGATTTTTGCGATTTTTCCCGAGAGATGATCGTGTACCGCTGTCGCTCCCCCTGGTGTTTAAAATATAATATTGCATGTAAAATGGAACACAGTGGATATGGATGTGTAAGCATGTAAAAATCAAACATCTGAATTCTTCTTCCTGTCTGGTTGCTGCTTCCTTTTCACAGATCTGATGTTGTCGCTCTTTCATTTTTTTCCTTTCTTTTCCTCTTTCCGATCCCTCTGTTTGTGTGTGTCCATGTCCGTCCCGGTCCATGTCTGTCGGTCGGTGGCCGTGTCTGTGCGTGCCCCACCCCCTGTCCTCTCGCGGTTCCCCCGGCCTGTCTCCTCTCGTCAGCCCAACAGGCTGGGGAAGCTGGCTGAGCAGGTACCGTGTGCCGTTCGGGAGAGACTGCAGCGGGGGCGGGGAAGGGGTGCGTGTGTACTAGTGCACGAGTGCGTGTGCAACTTGTACGGGTGCGTGTGCGCGAGAGAGAAACTCCGACTGCTGTTCACTGCAAAAGGCTGGCCTGTTTGCTTATTCATTGTTTTACCGATGTATAGTCATTTTTACTTACTGAGTAAAAATATCCGTTTAGTATTCTTCAGTCGGTGAGGTTTCTCCGTGTTTCTGCGACCGCAGACATGTGATACGCAAAAGAGCGTCGTTTCTAATTAAAGGCGGCTGGATTATAGAACAACCACAGCTGCTGATCTGCGGTAGAGTCACTGCGCGCTCTTGATCCACAAAAGCGCAAATAAATCTGCTGTAATTACAGAAGCATCTTGGTTTATCGCTTCCTAATGTAATCCGTTGCTGTCAATGGTTTAAAATTGCTGAAAAATAAAGATTGTTTTGGTAGGGAAAAGAATTACCTATACTCAGTTTAACGAGGTAATAACGAGCTCCTTTATTAACGCGATTCTCTTAAAAAAAAAAAGAGTAGATTTTGTTGCGCAAGAAAATTTGAAAGAATTCGTGTGGACTGTTATTTATTATTATTATATATGGTGCTAGCTTGCTGCGCTTTATTTTAACATAAAGAGGGCATTCGATCGTTAATGATAGTCTTCTGCTAGCTTTGCACTGGGGTTTAATAATAATAAAAAAAGCTCAGAGCACGCTGCTGAATTTAAAGTAATTTTGGAATAATGCTGATCTTCCAAGCAGATTATTATGATTTAAAACAGGCGATTGTGAAGCTGACGCAGCCCCCACTGCCTGGGACCTTCTAACTGTTGGCTGCCTCCACCCCCAAGTCGCCTCTTTCTCTGTCCATTTGTTGTGTTTATTTTTATATTTTATTTGATTTTATTTTTCCTGTTCATTTTCTTTTTGGCTTGTTTCTTCCACCTGCGATTGTTTCCTCTCCAAACCTTTGGCTGGACTCATATCCATGACCGATGCTGCTGAACATCTCAGATGGTGGGATAGTTCTCATGGGGTCGGGTCGGGTCGGGCTTCCATCAGCAGGTCTGGGTGGCCTCTGGCCCGTGCCCTGCACCCACCCGGGCACACTTCACCTGCCCCCCCCCCCACCACCACATGACCTAGGGTGCTCTTCTTGACATCATGCTGTCAAAGAAGGATCCCCGTTTTCATGTTAGTACCCGGAACCTTCCATCTGTGTATCCTTCTGCTTCCTGCCATCTTAGTTCTGACCTGCCATGCTGTGCCAGGCTTCTGGATGGTGCAGGGGGGCAGGGGGTGTCTGTGACTTACATGGAGGTATTGAAAATGGTGCCAGTCCTTACAAATGCCCTCTGGCCTCATCCTTCCTCCCCCTGTCCTCCAGGGCACAGCAGGTCCGGACCCCACCACAGTCTATGTGGATATGAGAGCCCTGCGGCACGACAGGTGAGCACCCCCCCACCCCACCCCACATTGGTACGCTCCACCCAGGGGCCTCTGGGTCATCCATCTTGGGCATCATTAACACACTGTGTGTGGTGGGGGGGGTTCTGTTTCCAGGGTGCGTCTGGTGGAGAGAGGATCTCCACATAGCCTGCCTCTGATGGAGTCTGGAAAGGTAAGGAGAACTGCAGAAACACGCTGAGGAACCGTTACTCGTGTCGAACGTTAGCTTGATGCTAATGGATCCTAATATGGGATGATTAATATCAAATAAATGTTATTTGTACATTACACAGATCTTGCCTGGGGTAAAGGTGATCATCGCCAATCCAGAGACCAAGGGACCTCTGGGCGATTCGCACCTGGGGGAGGTGAGTCACCAAGGGGATAGTCTTTGATATCCGTGACGTTTTGATGGGCAGATGTGAGGCCTGGCTGGAGGGTGGACATCCTGCATCTCCTCTCCCCCACTTTCTGTTGAAAGGTCTGGGTGAGCAGCCCCCACAATGCCACAGGCTACTACACCGTGTATGGCGAGGAGGCCCTACACGCAGACCACTTCAACACCCGGCTGAGTTTTGGTGACACGCAGACGGTGTGGGCGCGCACGGGGTACCTGGGCTTCCTACGCCGCACCGAGCTCACGGACGCCAGCGGAGGTGCATACCGGCGATCGACTCCAGGGCACTAGTCAGTCGGCAGCAATATGCAGTAGCAAAGAGGGGGATTCATAACTGGCCATGTGCAGCACAGGGAATTTGTTGTACTGGTGTAATCCGAAGACCATGGCTGGTGTCTTTAAGGAACGCCTTAAAGGTCTGTGACCAGGCGTACCGCGTGTGCATAAAGCGTGTGCTGTGTGCACATGTGTTCCAGAACGGCACGACGCGCTGTACGTGGTGGGCTCCCTGGATGAGACCCTGGAGCTCCGCGGCATGCGCTACCACCCCATCGACATCGAGACGTCCGTCATTCGATCGCACAAGAGCATCGCCGAGTGGTGAGTGAAAGGAGTGCCTGGTTAAACACCATGATTGACCGCAGTAAAGGCGTATTGTGCTTGTAGGTCGTCTCGGCAATCTTCCAGTCTAGAGACAGTATTACTGATGGTATAATGTAGAATATACTGTATAGAAGAGTCTACAAAGCACAGAAGTCATTGACAGATGTTAGCGTGATGGTTAAATACTTGTACCTTGCATGGTCCTGGTTTGAGCTGACATGGACACACTTGATGTACCTTTGAGGCTGGGTAGAGAACTCAAGCTGAACTGCTGTAATGCAGAATATCCATCATATACGTGTCTTAAAGACGGACTCGCTAGTTACCCTCTAACCTTCCCCCTTCATGTACACCTCCCAGCGCCGTGTTCACCTGGACCAACCTGCTGGTGGTGGTGGTGGAGCTGGAGGGCTCGGAGCAGGAGGCGCTGGACCTGGTGGCCCTGGTGACCAACGTGGTGCTGGAGGAGCACTACCTGATCGTGGGCGTGGTGGTGGTGGTGGACCCGGGCGTCATCCCCATCAACTCGCGCGGCGAGAAGCAGCGCATGCACCTGCGCGACGGCTTCCTGGCCGACCAGCTGGACCCCATCTATGTGGCCTACAACATGTGATCCCCGCCTGGACAGAGACGCCAGGAAAAGGAGGGAGAGCAGGCCTGCTTTGCACGCTGCGGGAAGAGGCGAACGTGGGGGGTGGGACTCTGCCCCACGTCTGTTCTTCCCTCAGAAAATATGGAGAACCATTTTGGAGGGCTTATTGGTTATACAGTATGTTAACATTTGTATTACTAACCTTCCATTCCCACTTTCAAAACAAGACCCCTTGTCAAGGCAAGGTGAGGGGCTGGCTAAGGCGTACTGGTTTTGTTTACTGGGTTGAATGTCAGTATTGAGTAAATCGTCTTGCGTGTCCCAGCATTGCAGCCCACCCCCCCACCGCCTTGCTCCAGCAGCTCAGATGTGGTCAAGCTAGAGGGATGGCACTAGGGGGCGCTGTTTCGTCAATGTGCCTCATTTCATTGGGAGGGGCTTAACGCCTCTTTCTCATGCCTGCATTAAAGCTTAAGATATTTATTTAGCTCAGAAATTATTCAGATAATTAAAACTGATGTCTAGCACAAAATTTCTGAAATTTAAGGAAATTCCTCATTTATTTTTCTTTTTTAAAAAACACATTCCTGCTTGAGTTTTAAACTTCTAAGGATTCCTGTATGATGGCCTGTGTTATTTTTTAAAGACAGGATGTCTTCTTAATATTTTTCGTCACTTCTGAATACAATTGTTGATTGATTTTATTTTATTTTTTCCCCATCATTGACTGTAATATGCTATCAAGATATCAGGAAGTAGAACAGCCTAGAGATCCTGTAAATGATTTCAGGCTTTTTTATGGTCAGGCCTAACAGCATAAGCATAATCCTACATTTGAAGTTGTACATCGGGTTGCTTAAGATTATGATTCCCCCCCCCCCCCCAGTGTTTTAAAATGAGGCCTTAACTTGCTCAGCCAGCTGTTTGTGAAGTTCATCGATAAGTTCACTATTCAGCTGTGATGATGTGTGGGAGGTGTGGGTGCACCATTAGGTCCTGACCCCTCCCCTCCAATAAAAATCCCGGGGGTGTGCCACTATGGGGGAGGGGCACGCCGTGTCTGTACCCCGAGTTTCCCTGTGTGAAAATGATCTACGTCTTATGCAAGTGAGCATCTCGGGTCAAGCCTATGCTATCTAACTAATGAGCTCACAATTTAGTCTATTATTTTTTCTGTTTATCCACATTCTCTACAGAAGAATGCCGAGGTGTTGAATAGGTGTCATATCGGGTTGGTGATTTAGGAACGGAAGTGTTCGTAAAGTGAATCCATAGATATGTCTCGTCTATAGATGATGGGTTTTTTTTTTTTTTTAAAGATCTGGGTGGTGTGAGTGAGATGGAAAAGGCTTCTTTGCTGAATGTATACAAGGTTGGATGTACTCTGTTATTCCAATGGGAGTCGGAGGCCAAAAGCTCGCTTTAAACTCCCTGCTCTGTCTGATAGGGCGTTTTTCACGCTCATAGAAACATGAACTTCTTTCAGGTAATTTCCTACAGTGGTTTACGTCACGACAACAAGCTGTAAATCCATCTATCTGGGGCCAGAGGGTAGACAAATAACACGACATAGGCCATCAATGACTCTTGCATTCATTTCGAAGTGTAGCTGCAAATGTTGTGAAGCGCAGGGGGGGGTTGGGGCAGTTTTACAGGCAAACTCGACCCGGCACCGGTGAACCTGTGAACCTGTGATGCAAAGACTGCCTCTCAACTGGATTTTGACGCTTGCCCCCCCCCAGGGGCAGCCCTACCTGTAAAATGATTGCCCCCCCCCCCCCCCCCCCCCCCCCCCTCCCCGCTTGTGTGGACCTCTTGGAAACCGCAAGCCTACTGTAATTTATGTACAGATCTTGTATAAGTTATTTTGGGATTATAACATTTCTGGAAATTCCAGAACAGACTGCGGCCGCAGTTCCTTGGAGAAAGGCAGACGATCGCCTCAGAATGGACTCCCACACTAACCGACTTTTAAATAAATGTTCTAGGTTTGTTTTATAAGCAGGGAGGAAGAGAGTAAATACACACGCGAGGAATAAAGCAAATCTTGTACGATTTTTTTTTTGTTTTTAATTAAAACGAGGACACTGAGTCTTGCTGCTTTTCAAAGGAGGAAGGAAAGGCAGAAAGCACATTAAAATATTTTAAGATGAAAACGAGACTTTTGTGGTGAAGCTTCAGAAAGTTATTTCTCTCTTCGGTTCCTTCGTTGTTTTCTGAGCACGCTCAGATTGTGGACATCAATGTGAAGAGTCTCAATAATACCATTCTTTTTCTTTGATATATGTTCTGAACATTAAATGGTTTTAAAATAAAATGATTTTCTTATAAGACAACCATGAGACTGTGCAATGTCATGGAAATTCCGAACGCTTATTAAATGGTTTATATTGACATTTTTGTTTAAGGCAAGGTGTGCGTAATTTTATTATACAATATGTGAGTAGGTGCGTTGTCAACGCACACCTCCAGAGTTTGGCGTTTCAATCACGCATCTGCTCTCTGTGGAATTTTCATGTACAGTGGACCCTTCGTTTGCAAGGGTTGGTCGTAAGTCAAGACTATTTTTTCCATAAGAAATAATGGAAATCCTCATAATGCACCCCTTACCTAACCTTTTCATAATAAAAAGGGTTCTATAATGTGCGTAATTTACCAGAAACACCAATAATTTCCCTAATGTACTCACCAAATCTGTACAAATTTACAAAGATACAAATCTTTTCTTTGTAAGATTGTCGAGATGGTGGATTTCGACATGCTGTACATATTAGCCAGATCGGTCACATGAACGCCATTCAAATATCTATAGAATTTCCTCCTTTTTGATTGCGATTGATTTCTTTACCTTCTCTTCATTCCTTTGCTGCTTTTCTAGCTTTTTGGGGGCCACTTTGATTGCGATTAGCTAAATTAATTATATAAAGCACTGCACTGACCGAAATGACGTCCACAAACAGGCGTATCTGGGCTCAGACTGATGCTTACAGATGCCTCTCGGGCATCTCGGCTCTTTGTTTATAACCGCACAAGCGATACACGTTTTGGCCTCGACAGGTGTTATGCCGAAAAAGGCATCCCTGCCGTAGAATGCATGCCTGTCTCTAAATGACCGATTGGTCGCTGATCTGAAACGAGTTGAGCTACTTTGTCGAGTAAGGCTACCGTAGTGCTAATCAATAGCCCCAAAAAGTCCATAAAACTCTGACCCTAACCCCCAAAAAACCTCTAAAACCCTAACCCTAACCCCCAAAACACCCCTAAAACCCTAACCCTAACCCCTAAAAAACCCCTGACCCCCAAAAAACTATTAAAAGCTCAACTCGTCGGAACACCGGCATGCATTCTAAGGCAGGGATGCCTTTTTCGGCATAACACCTGCATTCAGGTCGTAACTCAAGGCTTTGGTCGAAACTAAAATTTTGGTCGTTACACAAGCTGTACATATGTCAGGCCGGTCGTAACTCATGGGTCCGCCGTAGCCCTCGTTTCGTGTGGATTTAGACTTGGTACCCCCCACAGTTAAGTTGTTTCGTATCTCAGATTCGTCCATAGTGTGTGTGTGGATATTTTGTCTGACAGACTGGCATCCTGTACAGCAGGAGTCACCAACCTTTTTGAAACTCGAGCTACTTCACGGGTTCTGAGCCATTAAAGGGCTACCAGTTTGATGCACTCTTCTTAAATAACAAATTTGCTTAGTATAATAAACATGTTTTAAATGTTTTTTTAAGATATTGTCATCCATATAAATGCAAATGTGATTAAAGAAGAATAGTAACAGAATAAAATTAAATTTTAGACGCTGCTCACTGGTGAGTTGTACTATTTTTAGAACAGGTTCGCGGGCAACTCATGTGGTCTTGGCCCAAGACTCTTGGGGGCATATCCTAGTGACCGCGGGCACCATGTTGGTGATCCGTGCTGTATAGGGTGTATCTTTACCATGTGCCCTTTGCTACGTGGGATAGGGCCCAGGGCCTCCGTCCCTGACATCTAAATGTGATCTAAATGACTACCGGCGGTCCGACTCCAGGAGCGTCAGACTTATGCTGATCGAGGGGAAACGACTGAACGTCAGTATATTTTCGAGCTGGCTTGTTCATGTAAGTAATAAACAATACAATTACTGATAATGTATCACAACCATGACTGAGTTTGATCACGGCTTAGCTCAGATTACTGGCAACCAAAAAAAGTTTATTGGTGATAATCCGAAACTAGAGAATTCAAATAATAAATATCCTTAATAAAATTTTATTTCGTGCCAAAGGACTACATTGAAGTTTAGATATTTCCGCATAATTTACTCAACAAATTGTGCAAACATCTGGACAAATTTATTGTGCCTAAAATTTTAAATCTCTAAAGGGGCAAGTTTTTAAAAAACTTTCCAGCTGGATATTGGAACACTTGATGTGGTTTATATTTCTTAAGATTTTTATCGCTTAAAACGGAAGTCGTCTCCACCCTTCCAGAAAATTTAATGATAATTTCCTGTGGATGGGATCCGTGTTTTGTATAGTACGGTGGTGCAATAAAAGGACAAATGCACCTTGACTACATACTTATCTGTCATGTATGCATGCATCTCTCCTTTGCTGCCTCCCTTTTTCCTCACATTTACTCCACCTCTCCGCATCTGCCTTTCTCTCGGCGGACCGCCCATCCTCATCCGTCCGCTGTCTGTCAGCCGACAGGCCGGACGCAGTGTGATTGCGGGCGTGATTATTTTATGTATATTAAAAATCGAAGCAAAGTAAGTATTTCCAACGCTACTTCGGTCGCTTTACTGTATTTTGCATGTTTTTTTAACAGCAGATAATTGCGTTGTGGCGCCGCCGGTAGCCGGACCGCTGCTATGCTTCGCGCGAGGCGGCGAGCTGCGCTCCATTCCCGGCCGCGGGGACGCGCCTGAAGCCGGCGATCCGCTCCGCGCGCCCGGTGTGAAAATGCTTTCCGGACCCGGTGAGCTATGAACGGCTCCATCATGGCCGCCGTCCCTCTTTCTCGGTGATCGCTTCTAGATTGCAGTGCGCGGATTTTGGCAATGGTTCCGAAATCGCGCATGGGTCCTTCCTGTTGAACTTATTCCTCTATGGTCTCTACTAATGTCCCCAGCTTTTGACAACACACGGGTTACCTGCGTTTTCTGCCATTAACTTAAAGGGGAAAGCGTAGGGGGAGCAATGCTGAGTGACTTGCCCAGGCATACCGCTATAACTGTCAGCCAGCCTGTTTCCGCGATATCATTTTTCTCCCTGTGACAGGAAATACAGTTTTGACCAAGATTAATATATTTTTCCGAATTGTATGATACAGTTGATGGACTGTCTTACAGATATACAGTACTTGCTACTGTGGCGTCTAAGTGATCCATGACAGATTCATTATCTGTAGTTATCAGTACTCACTCACTCACTCACTCCTGTCTTCCAACACCAGGGGGCAGTGGAGGTGCACCGTTCCCGAAGGCACTGCTACACTGATTCTTTCCTAATATGTAGTTGTTGATCTAAAAAAAATCTGTTAAAAATGCACTGTTAATTTAAGTTACATTTGCTCTTGGGATACAACCACTAAGAAAGGAATATTTTTGCCTTTCACAGTTTGAAATATGTTAGTGTTTGTATGCAGTGAGGTTGCTCCCGTTCTTGCACCTAAGGAAGCCTTTTTTGTTTTTTTTTTTCCCAGGAGGGATGTTGAAACCCTTCATGGATGAAGAATAGGAGTAGCAGGATCTCTGGGGGACCAGTTTTACTCCAGAGGAACCAGTGATACATGTAGGTTCATCTGCCCTGTGCCATGAGTGAGGCCAGTTCCCCGCTCGCTGGTGTGGGGCCTGACGGTTCGCTTCCGGAGCCAGAGGGGGCCGGGACAGGAGATGGAGGGGTGGAAGACCCAGGCGGCCCCCACAGGTGCCCTGAGTGTGGGAGATGCTTCTTGGGTTCAGCCGAGCTGGAGCAGCACGCGGCGTCCCACGAGGAAGCGGAGGAACCGCAGCGGCGTGAGCCGCGTGACCGCCGGCCTGCCCTCTCCTCGAGCCTGCCCAGGCGCGCCAACGCGGGCAGGCGTCCGCACAGCTGCCTGCTCTGCACCAAGACCTTCATCTCCTCGTCACACCTGGCGCTGCACCTCCGCTCGCACAGCGGTGAGCGCAAGTACAAGTGCAGCGTGTGTGGAAAGCTCTTCCTGCAGTCGTCGCACCTGGTACGCCACAAGGCCATCCACACAGGCGAGCGGCCCTTCAAATGCCCCGAGTGTGGCAAGGGCTTCGGCCGCGCCTCGCATCTGAAGACGCACCGGCGGCTGCACACCGGCGAGAAGCCCTTCAAGTGCACGCAGTGCGACAAGGCCTTCACGCAGAAGGCCGGCCTCATCGTGCACCACCGGCTGCACACTGGCGAGCGGCCCTTCTCTTGCAGCGCCTGCGGCCAGGCCTTCCGCTGCGCTGCCCACCTGCTGTCCCATCAGGCACTGGAGGCGGGAGAGCACCGATTTGCCTGCGACTACTGCGACCGCGCCTTCCGCTCAGCGGCGGCGCTCAGGCGCCACGAGGCGTCCAGCCACAGCGGCCAGGAGGCCTTCCGCTGCGGCGTGTGCCGCCGCTCCTTCGCCCGTTCTGCCTGCCTGCAGCCACACCTGCAGGACGACGGCGCCTGCCGGCCCTACCACTGCATGGTGTGCAACAGGACCTACACCAAGATGGCCACCTTCGAGAAGCACTGTCGGCAGCATCAGCGGCACAGTGGGGCCGTGGCAGCGGCCAGTGCCGAGGAAGAGGAGGGGCAGGAAGAGGACGGGGACCTCAAGATGTCTCCGTCGGCCCAGCCGGCTGGCCTTCAGTCCCCGCGGCCTCCCCAGAACGAGGTCACCACGCGATCCAGGGCTCGGGCCAAAGCGAAGGGCAAGATGGCCGACCCTGAGTGAACGCCATCAAAGCCCTGGGACAGAGCACTGAGGAAGAGCTGCTTGGGAAGACAGCCAGCCTCGGGTCACACGCCATTCTCATACTGATTATAATCCGAAACATTCCAAATTCTTCCCGTTGTCGGTGCAATAAAACATTAAGGGTGATTCCGTTCACTGCACTAAATATTAAATACGTTCCTTATGTAGGTGATGCTAGAGCAGCATGTTCTGCTAAAACAGCAAGCTGGCTGCTGTCTCCTGACAACTAACTAGCTGTTTATTTCATCGTTGAAATAACTAAGTGGGGCCGTAGAAACGACACACCTGCCCCAGGTGAATATTACCTGGCTTTTCTCATGAAAGGTTGCAGGTTTGCACTTTTCCTCGTGTGAGACGAGCACCTTTTTTTGCACACTTCTTATGGCGTTGCATCTGTGTAGTGTAGCATCTCCGGCACTGGCAGTTCTGAATCAACTCCATGGAGCTGGAATTGCTAAAGTGAGACGCTGATGTGCGGATCCAGTTGGATCCTAGTGGTATGGAAAGCGAAGGGTGTATTCAGTATCTCCTGGATGGCTGTGCTACAGAGGCACTTTAGGTTTGGGTCACCTACCCATCATGTACCATATCAGGATGAACAGCATCTTTATTGCACAGGTGGTTTATCGGTGTGGGCCAAAGGTTTACACCAGAGGTGGGGAACCGGATCCATGGAGGGCCGGTGCAGGTTTTTGGGATGACCTCTCAATCAGCCAATAAGGAAGCAGCGTCTCTCAAATCCAGTCCTGGGGACCCACTGTTATTGGCTGATTGAGAGGTCATCCCAAAAACTTGCATCGACCCTCCATGGATCCGGTTCCCCACCCCTGGTTAAAACCGTATGCGACGAAAGGTGTGCTTACCTCGATGTGTTTCATGCTGAAATGTGTTCTATAATGATTCTTTCTCAATGCTTTTTCAGGCAATTTTGCCAGTTAAACCCGATTTTAATAGGAACACATTCACATTGCTGTCGGAATACTAGTCATTTGTTCCCAATGTCCAGGACATTTGAGTGTTTGCACCTTTTGTCTGTAATAAGCACCTTGACTTAGTAAAGAATGCACTTGCTTTGGTTGTGTTAAGGAAATAGGCTTTTCGTGTGGAATTACACCTTAATTAAATGTCTGTTTTGTGCAACTCCTTAACTGCTAAGCCCTGCCATAAAAGCTTAAAAGAGATTTAAGTGAGGCTCCATTTAATGGACGACCTGTGGAGGTATAAAATGGCAGTCTAATTTATATTTAAGACTCATTTATACGACATGGGTGCCGGACTATTGTCGCAAACTACAAAAGTACGTTTGAAGTAATATCATATTCTGTAGCATTTGGAAATTCATTGGTGTTCTATTGTCAACTAGTCAGACCAGTTACAAAGCAACTCTGCAAATTTGAACCAGTGGAAATCTTCAGTGAGACCCATTTATATCATTGTACTGTTTGGTAATAATGTACCTTTTTTCCTTAAATTATAATCTCCTCCCCTTTGTTTTCACTGCACTCATTTAGTATCTTATTGTACATCACGTTTTTCCTTGTTTTACTGCCATTTTGCACATTAAAGTAATAATAATTATCTGCTTTAATATAAATGATACTTTAAGGAAAAGGTGTGCAATGCTTATTTGATAGTAGGAATATGGTAACATTGTAGGAATTAAGCTGTAATCCGTTAATTTAAGTGGGTGCACTTCTGATCACATCTGTGCACCATGTGACACCAGTAGAAGCTGAAATGTGTTTTTTGGGTCGCCTTTTTTCCTTCATCTTTAAGCTTTTAAAGGGATCCTATGTGTTTCTTCATAGACTAATGATTGGGTTACGCTTTATCTTGAAGTTTTATTAATTGTAAAGTGATTTCTGCGATTCTATGTTAGGTCCAATAGCTGATATTTTAATTTAATGCACAGTACTAGTACCCAGTAATATTTTTTACTTATATTGTAACTTTTGTTTCTCAAAAGCTAGCCTGTGTTACACGTTAGCCCGTGTATTAATAAAATATAAGGTGTGAAACTTTAAGACTTTCAGGAACAGATTGTCGCATTGAATGCAGAGTCTTGATAAGGTATTTTCTCTTCAAAATAGTGAAAGTTATTCTGTTATGAGACTTTCGGTAACTGTGTGTATGATATATCTATAAGAATCTATGAACGCATTCATAAAGCATTATAATGCATTCGTGAAGCATTATAAACATGATCTCAAATATTTATAAAAAGGCATAACACATTATAACCATGTTTATTAAGCATTATGAATGCTTTATGAATCTCTCATCTACAATGCACTATAGATACCTTCATAATGCAGTACACAGCGTCCTTAATTCTTATACAGACCATTGTAATGCATTATGAATGTATCTATAGTGCATTATAGATGAGAGCTTCATTAGAGTTTATGAAGTATTATAATAAACACTATAATGCCTTATGACTGTTAATAGAAAATGCTGTAATGTTTTAACTCTTATACCAACCATTATAATACACCATGAAGGTATCTATAATGCATTATAGATGACAGCTTTAATTAAATAGTTACCATACTTTCTTACATGCAGCCCTCCTATTGGATTAGATGTATCATGCCTTTTCATTCCCTTCTGTCTGTAATACATTACACAAAAATTCTCTGTCCAGTAATGCAGGTAGATACTGATTAAACTGTGTGGTATGTAAAGAATGGATTTGTTTTCTCTAAAATAAATGGTTTGCTTGAATATTTTGCTTTAATAAATGTTATTCAATGATAGGATTTGTTTTTTTTTTATTTAAGATAAACATTTTGGACAATTTGGTTTAAAGAAGGATTCAGTTTAAATTCTACATTAACTAATAACAAACAACTAATTTAAATGAGCAGCAGTGTGGTTAGATCCTAGGCAAGGGCTCCATCCCTATAAACGTTAAGGCACGGTAGAGTCATTGCACAAAGAATCAGAGTTCTATTGTCCATTTATAGCAACTGATGGAAGCCAAGGACTTATGTTCCCGATAATGACTGTACATGGTTTACATTGAATGGCCTGCATAGTGTTCTAATGTAACTGCATTCTCCTCATGGTGTGATACTTTGTTAGAGTAAAAACTCCCGCATGCGCCAGGAATGCTGGGAAATATGTTGGCTGAAGTATTTAGTTCCTTTCAGTGTCACCCCTGGCAAGCAGGCCTTAGACAAGGTGGCAGAGGGATCTTGTGACTTATATTGGGCACTAAGTGGTATTACTGTGTTGGCAGGGGATGATAAAAGTGGTGACAATGCAATGACACTTTTTCCAACTGCATGGAAGAAGGCGATGCTAATCCTAACCCATCTTCATACTGAATATTCAAGAGGAACGCCATCTACATGACTGGCAGGTGTGGATATTGATGGCTTCTAATAATTATGTTATGTATTAATAATGTAATTAATTAGTGGTGCACTCTAGTATAATTTAATACTGCCTTAGCCTTTAACATGATTAATCTCTTTTTCCTGTGTAAAAGTTATTCTTTATATATTCAATCAAGATCTCAGTCTTCCTTAAGTTATTTATTGTAGCGATCATTCATCAGTGTTTTAGACAGCCTGGCTGAGGGAAAAAAAATCTCTTTCTCAATCACAGTGCTTGATGAAAATTAACTGATAAGCAGCTACAGGAAGGCATCTGGGTGGTTAGAGCGGGAGGTCGTCTGCATGGTCCCTTAAGCCCTCAGAAGCAGCAGCTTCAACAACCTTAATTCGGCCGTCTGACGGGAATGGAGATTACGCACCACAATATCCCACCCAGCCCCAATCATTTCCATCTTTGCTTAAAATATGATTGCTTGAGGAGTAAATTTAGTTTAGATTATTTAGGATAATTTTACCAAAATTCTAGTTTATTTTTTTGTTTTGACATTTCAGCATTGTATTTCCTCTTGAAGTTACACTGTTGCTGTTATAAAACTAACGATATGTTAGTTTCGGGGGGGGAAAAAATCAAATGTTGCCAGGAGAAAAAGCATCTGTTCAAAACAGACAGTGACAGAGTTCAACAAAGGAACCAACTTCTGACATCTCCTGTCATTAGAACATAATAGCTTGAATGTCGGACATCCTTTCCTAAAAATATCTGACCTCATCTACTATTGTGCTTCTCGATGCTGGTTCAATAATAGCGTGTGTTTAGCACTGTTGATCTCATGCAGACCACACTGGTGATATTGAGGTACGAGTTGTTCATACAGATGTATTGTTGCCTTGTGAAATTCCCTCTTGTATTTTGAGCACCCCCCCCCCCGCTCCATGCACTCTTGAGGGGTCTTTTTTTCCTTTACATTCATTAGAGCATGCTCACTCCTTCTTCCTCTTCTGGCTTTTCCCTCGGAAGCACATCCTGATACAGAATCTGCAGCTTTTAACAATCACTATGACAACAGTGACAATTATGACGACAAGCAAGCTGATGACATCCAGGGAGTGGTACTGGATCCAGTTGAGATCATGTGCTGCCGGCCTCAAGTGGTCTGCCCCTTTGTGTCGCATGACAAATTCCGTCCAAAAGACTGCCAGGTCCAGCGGTTCTACGGGCCGGTCCTTGTGCACCGCAGAGAGCTTCATTATTTTGTCCTTATAACTGTAGAAGAGACAATGTGTGCAATACTCCATAAATGAATCCTATATCATTACTACAATTTTTAGCAATAAATAACAATTAATTTAACATAGATTACTTCATAAAAACACTTCATGGTTTATTTTGCAGTGGGAATTAAAACAACGGAATGTTTCATTTGTTCATTTGGGCTGCATATCTAGGTCAGGTTGAGCCCTCACCTTGAATCGTTGATGACTTTGTTGAGTGTCGTCACAATTTGTTCCACGGTGATGTCATAGATGTTAAGCATCTCCCCAACACCCCGGACCACCATGCGTTGCACGTTGTCGCTCTGGTCACCGAACAGCGGCAGCATCACCATGGGAACGGCGTTGCAGATTCCCTCATAGATGCCATGTGTACCTGCGTGAGTCACAAAAGCCCTGGCCTTTGGGTGGCCTTCAGAGAGAGGCAGAGACACAGGGGAGACGCAGATTGTTAAAGGCAGGCTGCCACCCAAAAGTAACATTAATATCGGAAATCATCAGATTTCCTGGGCTTAATAAAGTCCCAGCGATTTAAGTACATAAAAACAGAAGGGAATCTGTGTGAAACTCTCCATGGTTTAATGCCCTAACAGCCCCCTATGGCCTCTCCTCCCCAGCAAAAAAAGCCAGCTTGGAGACCAGCGCAGGAGCAGTAGTCCCCACCCAAGAGATCATTCTGTGGGAGCCACTTCATCAGCTTCACGTTCTCTGGGACGTTGGCGGGAACAGGTCCGGTGTATCTCCAGAGGACCTGCAGATGCAGACCAGAGCTCATTAGCCTGCTGGGGAATGCAGGGAGAAAGGAGGGGGGCAGCAATTGAGGAGTGAAGGGGGGGGGGGCATTATCCTCAGCACTTACGCTGGAACATTGGGGGCAGAACAAGGGAGAAAAGAGAAGCGAAAGAAAAGCAAGAGCTCTGCAGGAATTTGCTTTTTAAGCACCACTGCTGTGGCCCGATTTAGATGGATTTCCCAAGAGGCTTTAGCCAACGGAAGGGCACCATGTGTGCATACGACTTGGGTGATTTTATCAAGAGAGCCACTAAAAAAACTAGAAAATATGACCATTTTAAAATTTTTCACTGCCTACAATTTACAGATGATCGATTATTTAGGGTAAGAGCTGCAACTAATTGATTGCGAGGCTGATGTCTGCGGAATGTCTGTGCTGTGGGTCATGGAGTGGGTGGTTTGATTTGGGCCATCACAACATACAGAAGCTATCCTGCCATATGGGGGCCACATGGTAGGGTCACCCTCCCCTGACATCGCCAAGGCCACGGTCACCCCGAGCTCTCCTTACTCTCTGAGGAATCTGCCGGAACGCCTCGAAGAAACACTGGGCCTTGTCTTCAGGCATCTGGGACACCATGGAGCCCAGGGTGAAGACCACAAAGCCATGCTCCCCAGACCCATTCACAAAGGTCTCCAGGTCCTGGGCAGGGGTGGGGGACGGACAGGAAGAAGAGAGGGGAAGAGACAGAGAGAGAGAGAGATTACTTCTCTGTGTGAATGCTACTGAGGGCAGGAGAGTACAGTCTTGGAATTATAATACATACTGTAGTTCCAAAATTTGCTCTGTGATCCACAAACAAAACTCATAATAAACTGTCAAATACAGAAAACCTCCTATGCGTAATAAACATGCATTTCTGTTAGAGATATGATTTGCTGAAATACTGAGAAGCAGAGATGAACAATGGACTCACAGTAGCAGTAGAACTCAGTGTGACCAAAACCCCCTGTTACTAATATGATCTATGTATTTCATTTCTTTGTCCTTAGTTCCTTTCTGCTGGAAGCCGATTCTGTTTTTTTCTACACAGTACCAGAGGTGGATGGTTCAGGTCCCGAAAGTAAAAATCCAAAGATTTTGTTTCAACCAACCATTGGAGTATAAAGAGTCACAGTCACTGAGTACTCAACTGGTTGGCGGAAACAATATCTTGGTCTGGATTTTTACTTTCTGGATCTGAACAATCCACCTCTACATAGTACAGTGTTGTTTATATATAGTATAGCATGCTATACTGTATAGGAATGTATAAATAACACTGGCATAACTAGATATAATGTGAAACTTGGTTTTTCTGGAGTAAATTTTGGACCATAAGTTTCAGCATTAAGACCAGTAATGTAACAGGAATGTACTGAATGTAGCAGGAAGTCTGTTTGGCATATAAAACAAAAGCTTTGACAAGCGGATTCCGAGAACAGGCAGAAATACCACATCACCACTGGCTGTGTGATAGCAGCCCCGCAAAGGGCAGCCGAGGGCCTCACGAATGTGGAGTCACACCCTGGGGCTTCCTCGCCGACCCCGCTTGCCCCTCCCACAGACAGCCCACAGGGTGGAAACATCGGCCTTTTGTTTCTCAGGTCCGTCCGGACCATCTGGGTGGCGTCGAAGGGGAATACGTGCAAACGGTCAGAAACTTCCTTGAGGAATGATCAGCTGGGCCGGGGATCTCCTCCAGGAACTGGGACTAGTCCAAGGCTGACTAGACAGAGCTGTTCCACAGTGCCCAGTACACAATGTTCCTGAATGTGTGTGCGTGACATGAGGTCTGTTACCAACATCTGCGCTCGCAACAAAGGCGAGCAAAAACACTTCCACTCCCTGTTTGAAAAAGTGTGGCAGATGAAAGGGCGGTGGGTAGGCAAAGAGGGATTTCCACACAGCCCCCATTGCATGTTTACCAGTTTGCAACCCCCTCCTCAACTTGAGGAAACATTGAGCCTGTTAGGGCAAAACTCTCCACACACCATCCCCCCCCCCC